ATAATTATTATTTTTTACGCAGTAATACCATATTTAGGTTTAAAAATAAATAAATGTGTGTTTTATAGGTTGGAGATTGTGTTTTTGCAAAAACTGGGGCAAAAGGAGGAGGTGGTTGCTATCTACCTGCTGTGGTCATAGCAACACCAAGGTCTGAAGCAGCAGATAAGCTATATACAGTTCTCTATTACAACAACAGAAAAGTAAGTGCATTTACTAGAGGTCACACATGCTTTATTTACTAACAATACAATAAATACAGTGGTGACATTAAGGGCCTATGAATATATCATAGATTATTTGTTAAAGATACAATATTAATAATGTCCTTTTTTTCCAGGGACATTGTTTAAGGAGTGAGCAATTTAAAATAAGCCCATCTCAGTTTTCTGTTTCCTGTAGCTATATCAGAAAAGCCCAGATGATTGATTACACCATGTAAGTATTTTTTTATTTCTCTATTAATTTTTAAGAGTCTTAAAAAGTCAAAGTTGTAAGTAAATAAAATTCCTGGGGTTATTTACAATGCAAAATGTATACATTACAAATAGGCAACTAGCAGCTTACCACTGCATTCAAGTTTCTTCACAATCAGGAACTGTTCCTGCTCCCTTTTCTGAATGATTGAATCTACTCTCACCTTTTACACAGCCTAGGCACTCTGACATAGTCCTAACAATGCAAAGCTTTTATTTTAAGATCAAAGTCAGGGATGTCAAGCATAGGTTAATGCAACTGTGTATTTCAATATGCTGTGTACAAAAAGTATTAATTAGGGATGCACCGATACCAATACTGGTATTGGTATAGGTGACGATACTGAGCATTTGGCCGAGTACTCGTACTCAGCCAAATGCTCCATTACTTGCCCCCAATACCGGAACTTCCGGTCAGAGGGAGATTCCCTCTGAATGGCAGTGCCGTAAGGGAGCATGGAGCCGGCTTTCCGACCAATCAGGAAGCCGGGTGACAGGTCATGATTGGCTGGGAAGCCAGGCCCATGCTACCTCGGGATCCTGATATCGGTGAGTACTGCTAAAAAAAATATCGGTACTCATACTTTACATCTAAAAACCAGTGTCAATGCATATAATATAACCACCAAAATGACCTGCACATATAATAATACTTATCTCCTACAATGATTTCCCTGTGATGGCAATATACAGAACTGAAGAAAGGGTAGAGGTGCTTGGCTATTAAAGCCAATAATTATTAATGTGGTTAAACAAGAAGTAACTGCAGATAAGTAGTAATTTAATGGAACTATGCACATATCACTCACAGGAAGAAAAAAAAATGTATTCAGGACAGGTTTTCAGGTAGGCTAGAAGCAAATACACATTTCAAAATATAAGTAAAAGGCAAATTATTGGATTCGCTGGTCCTGATAGAAATAGCTAATTTTCAGTGTTCTGGGCCTCACCTATAATCTCCTCTGCCAGGCGCTCTTTCCATTTTCCTCTTACTTATTATTCTTTGTTATTTTCTTTACTGTTTCCTTCATTCACACTGAACATATATGCGATGTCCCACTGTGGGCGCTCATCAGTAATGCAAAGACTATTTTTTGTGACCTGGTTAACCCCCAGAGCAATGAACTGTGAAGAACCAAAATGCCTTCTATAGGAGAAGATTGCTTAAGAAAGAGACCTGAGAATCCAAAGAGGTTCCGTTGTAGCTCTCTTTCATGTACAGTATATTGCTCTTTGACACAAATCTTCCATATCAGAGGTATGGTTTGACGTGAACTGCCAAGCAGATGAAGAGTGCTAGCATCAGGGAGTATTTCACATACATGTGTACAGTCTCCCCTCTTAAATAAGATAAATGCACTTATAAACATATTAACTCTGGCTTTGCTTTCTATGTGCTTTGGGACTTGTCATTATAGATAGTGGTGTCCAATGAAAGAAGTACTGTTTTTTTTACTTTATAAAAATATATTTTATGAAAAGCACTGTTTCAACATGGAAAAGTTTAAACCACAAAGATTGTCTACATGTCACTAAGTCAAATCTTACTGTAATTTTAAATATTACTGTAGAATATATATATAAGCCTGGTCTTGGTGCAATTCCAGTACATCTGAGTTCGGCCAAGTCCTCTCAACACTGTAACCAACCCTCCTCCCTCTTGGCCCAATAAATTGCAGCACAAACATTCCCTGCACCGTTATGATGTGTAGCTGTGGAGTGGGGAATGTGCCTGCTGCAACTGTTTGGGTCGGAAAGGGGGTGTGTTGGTCATAGTTTAAGCAGGCTTGAGCAAACTGGGTTCGCAGCAAGCCCCAGCTCATCACTACTGTATTATTATTTATTATACAGAATTATTATACAAAATGTATGTAGAATATGGATCGTGAAATTAGTAGAATTAAAATAGAAAACCAGCTGCACTCCTTACCGGAACAATGGAAGCCCTGCAGCAGCAGGTGGGTGCTTGTAGCGACCACGGACAGCACCGTGTATAGCACAAGAGTATAAAGTGAATGTCACCAACACACCAAAAGTATTTCAGCAAAAGTCAGTTTATTGACACATTGCCATTCAGTACAAGCGCTTTCGGGGCCTCAAGGGTACCCCTTCATCAGGCTCAGAATGACAGTGTCATTGGCATTGACAAGTGTGACATTGGCCTTATGAGGCAGCCCTTATACACTACATCCTGTTCTGAGGTCCAACCAGTGTTGTGTGTTGTGCAGCTAATCTCACATTAGCACTGGTGGAGTATTCACTATTTCAGCAGTACTATTTAGCTACCACTGTGGATATGCACAAAAAATTAACTGGTGGACAACATGTATGGAGAAACACTGCAATGCAGCACAGAGCCCCTGGTGAAAAATATTGTACGATTGTTGGGACTTTCGCTAACAACCTATCCAGTTCAAGTCTTTGATAGTAAATCTTGCATTGTAACATATTTGCTCAGTAGGTACAGTATAAACTTGCAAGTATAACCTTAGTTCAAGACACAAATTAATGCAGCACTATATTAATTTATACAGCCATAAATATTTGTTTTAAATGCAGGCAGTGTAAGTATCCGAATTGGACTTGGTATTGGCCTCTTGCAGTTCCTGTACAACAAAGTTCAGACTTGGAGAAGGAGCCAGTCAGTTATGCTGCAGGATGCTAATAGGAGAGAAAGCAGAATGAGCAAGGTGATAAAGAGATGAGCTCATGGTCCTGCTGCTTCTCCTTTCACTGTCTGGCCACAGGCTGAGTGAGGGACAAGACCTCTAAGGTCTCCTGCTAGTCAGGGCTGTGCTGTGTGACAGAGATATGTAAATCTCAGGAATCGATGGACAGAAATATAAATCTTTAGGCAGGTAAAAGAAAAAAAACCCACTCTAAGCAGGACAGAAACTAATGATAAATAGAATCATGTTTGTGAACATTCATTTCTGATTGGTCATTATGGGTTATAGAACTTCACTGTTGTTACCAAAAATCAAAGCAGCTTTTAAACCATCATAATATCACTGACAAGTCCCTTTCTATTGGAATTTTTTTAATATACTAATGCAATATGTGTTGTTTAATTGTGCTGCAGACATCATCAGAACATATTAATGTGCCCTCTCCTGTCTTCTACAAAAAATGTCTCTTGCAAGACTCTAATTAGGATTTATAATTTCCTTTAGCCATGTCCTTGTACTATTAATACCTTTAATGGAAAGTGCTTGAGGCTTTTGGTTGGCTTGGAAGACACTGCAGTAACGCACCATATCGATTTATCATTATTCTTTTAAATTCCCTAAATCATACTGAAAGCAGGAAATCACATTGTTTGTGTATTCATTTAACAATTAACTTTAAGGGCTATACAACAATGAACTCTACTCCTTGCTACAACCAGGGCCGCCGTCAGGGGGGGTACGGCCAGTAACATTGTAAGGGGCCCTGGCAAACGGGGGGGGCCCGGGCTCCAAGCTCTAATTTGTTGTGCTTATATGAATGAGTTATATGAATAGTTATATTTGCCTGGTCCCGCCCCCCACCCCCCCCACGCTATTGGTATCTTTTCTGCTGAAGTGCTTACAGGGGCGGAGCTTAATTTACCGGGCAGAAGCATGGAGATCGAGGTTGAAGTAGAGTATGTCGGCTGCCGCCTGCCTGCAGGAGTGGCCGGCCCTGCCCCTCGATTGCGCTTGTTTGGCTCCGCCCCCTGTTGTGAGGGGTGGGGCCTGTTGGTGGTCACGTGATTGGGCTGCTCAGTCTAAAATGCCCGGGCCTATTTTTAGTCCCAGTGCGGCCCTGCATGCCTCCCTGACTGACTTCCTCCCCTTCATAAATCACATTCATGACTTCAGAACAGCAGAAAACTGGCTGTCAGGTGCACATTTTAACCACTTGCTGTCTGAGGCATTTCTTTACATTTACACACACATGATAAAATCAGAATTTTTGGCTAGAAAACAGGTTCAAACCCCCAACAATGATATATTTTCTGAAAGCAGAGGCCCCATAGAATAAATAATAAATTAAAATTTAGTGCATTTTTTTTGTAAAATATGAAAAACGGGGTCACGGCGGGTAAATAGATACCAAACATGTCAAGCTTTAAAATTGCGTTCATCCGCAAAAAATTTAAATACCCAAAATTTCCCATAGGGAACATTTTAAACACTTTTACCGCTCATTAATTTAGTGATAACAGTGATTGATGGCCCTATAACTATTGCTCTCAGTCCGACGTTCACGGCGATATGTAACATGTGTAGAGCAATTGTCGGTTTCGCACGTAAGCGCACCGGCGCGTGTTTGCATGTGTATGTGCGTGCACGTGTGGGGGGAGGGGCACATGCATTTTTTTTTCATTTTTTTAATTTCTCTTCTGTGACTTTAATTTTTAAACACTTTGTTTTTTTGTTTTTTTGTTTTTTTTTACACTAACGCTTTTGCTATCACATTGGGGGATAACAAGCACCCTATGTAATAGCAGATAGGGTGTGACAGGTCCTCTTTATGGAGACATCCTGGGTCTTTCAGACCCCTAATGTCACCTAGGGACAAATATTGAATGCACGGATGACTTAAAATACACATTTCAACTAGAGCTGCTACAACTATTCGATTTAGTCGATTAAGATCGACGATGGAAAACTTTGTCAACGTTGTCAACAACAAATCCCAGCAATAGTACATTATATTGTACTATTGCTGGGATTTGTAGCCCTCTGTAGCTGCTGGTATTCTGCATTGCGCCGCTGTATAAGGTATTATTGCTGGGATCTGATGTATTCCTCTATAGCTGGTGTTATTGGAGAGGACGGGTATGATGGTGGAATCGAATGCAGGAATAGAGAGGACATGTATGATGGTGGAATGGGGTGCAGAGGACGGGTATGATGATGGAATGGAGTGCAGGGATGGAGAGGACAGGTATGATGGTCGAATGGGATGGAGAGGACGGGTATGATGATGGGATGG